TCTTTTTTCAAACACTCATAGGAAGGAATAGGATTTTTTTACTAGTTACTTGGTGTCATTTTTATTATTCTTTTTCTTTCTTTCTTTCGTATTAATTCTTATTTTCTTTGTTGTTCTCTTTTCATAGACACTCACTTTAGATCCCGTAATAATATTGCTCTTTTTTTCTTTCTTTCTTTCTTTTTTATCTATTCATTGATATATTTATCTTTATCTGGAGAAATCGACAAATACAAGCATTGGCACCTCGGAGCTCGGAAAAATATCACAATAACAAAAACAAAAACAATAACAACAGAGACAAAAACAAAATCAACAATGAATGTTTTATTTGTTTACGATCATAACGGTAATAGTGATGGTGAAAAATAATTACGATGATAGTGATGATAATATTTAAACTAAGGATGGATATAACGATGATGAAGATATTAATAATAATGATGATAATGGAGATAAAGATATTAATAATGTAGATAATAACGGTGATAAAGATACTAATGATAATGACGACAAGGGAGATGAAGATAATAATAATAACGATGATAATGGAGATAAAGATACTGACAATAATGATGATAATGAAGATAAAGATACTAATGATAATGATAACGCTGATGAAGATACTAATGATGATGATAAAATAGAGAGACAGAAATAGGAAAAGAGAATCATAGAGTCAGAAACAGGGAGAGAGAATGAGAAAGAAAGAGAAGAGAGAGTTAGAGAGGTAGGGTGATAAAGATACTAACGATAACGAGATGAAGATAAAATTAATGAATTTATAAGGAGAGAGAGTTAGAGAGTTAGGGTGATAAAGATACTAATAATAACGTTAGGGTGATAAAGATACTAATAATAACGAGATGAAGATAAAATTAATAACGATGATAACGGGGATAAAGATACTAATAATAAAGATGATAATGGATATTAAGATACAAATGATGATGATGATGATGATAACGATCACAACACAACCATTAAAAGAATAATGATAATAACAAAAATGCTGATAATGCTGCTACTAATGACGACATCTATGATGATGAGAGAGAAGAGAGAGAGAGAGAGAGAGAGAGAGAGAGAAGAGAGAGAGAGAGAGAGAGAGAGAGAGAGAGAGAGAGAGAGAGAGAGAGAGAGAGAGAGAAAGAGAGAGAGAGACAGAGAGACAGAAACAAGGAGAAAAGAGATAGAGCAAGAGAGAGAAAGAGAGACAGAGACAGAAACAGGTAAAGAAAGAGAGAGAGAGAGAGAGAACGAGAGAAAGAGGGGCAGAGAGACAGAAACAGGGAGAGAGAGAGAGAGTGAGAGAAAGAACAGAGAGACAGAAACAAGAGAGGAGAGAGAGAAAGAGACAAGAGAGAAGACAGAGAAACAGAAATAGGAAAAGAGAGACACAGTCAGAAACAGGGAGAGAGAATGAGAAAGAAAGAGAAGGAGAGAGAGTCAGAGAGAAGGAGAGACAAAGAGATAGAGCAAGAGAGAGAAAGAGAGACATAAAGGCAGAAACAAAGAGAGAAAGAGAGAGAGCAAGAGACACGAGACAGAGAGACAGATAGACAGAAAACAGGGAGAGAAATACAGACAGAAACAGGGAGAGAAAGAGACACAGAGAGACAGATACAGGGAGAGAAAGAGAGAGACAGAGAGACAGAAACAGGGAGAGAAAGAGAGACAGAAAGAGGGAGAGAAAGAGAGACAGAGAGACAGAAACAGGGAGAGAAAGAGAGGCAGAGAGACAGAAACAGGGAGAGAAAGAGACACAGAGACAGAAACAGGGAGAGAAAGAGAGAGAGCAAGAGAAAGAGAACGAAAGGATGAGGAACAGAGAGACAGAAACACGGAGAGAAAGAGAGACAGAGAGACAGAAACAGGGGGAGAAAGAGAGAGAGAAAACGAAAGAATGAGGGACAGAGAGACCGAAACAGGAAGAGAAAGAGAAAGAGTAAGAGAGAGAAAGAGACAAGAGAAAGCTAGACAGAAAGACAGAAACGAGGAGAGAAAGAGAGAGAGAAAGAATGAGAGCAAGAGAGAAAGAGAGAGACAGAGACAGAAACAGAGAGAGAAAGAGAGAGAGAAAGAATGAGAGCAAGAGAGAAAGAGAGAGACACAGAGACAGAAACAGGGAGAGAAAGAGAGAGAGAAAGAGAGTGACAGAGAGACAGAAACAGGGAGAGAAAGAGAGAGAGAGAGAGAGACAGAAACAGGGAGAGAAAGAGAGAGAGAGAGAGAGAGCAAGAGAGAGAAAGAGACAAGAGAAAGAGAGACAGAAACGGAGAGAAAGAGACAGAGAGACAGAAACAAGAGAAAAGAGAGAAAGAGAGAAAAACAGGAGAGAAAGAGAAGACAGAGAGACAGAAACAGGGAGAGAAAGAGGAGAGAAGAGAGAGAAAGAGACAAGAGAAAGAGAGACAGAAACAAGGAGAGAAAGAGAGAGAGAGAGACAGAAACAGGGAGAGAAAGAGAGAGAGAGAGAGAGAGAAAAGAGAGAAGAGAC